ATAAAAAAATATACACCTATACTTTAACCCTCATTTGTAGAAATAATGGAAGCATGTGCTACCTCAGAAGGAAGTGTTTTCTCTATAGTATAATGTCACTTTCCTGCCTTGGAGTATATGCAGTTAAGTGGGAGATAAAATGGACTGACAAATAACCTCACCTAATCCATATGTTATTCAAACAACATGAAAACAGAGAATTTGGGAAGGCCCACTCTACCTCCTGCTGTGTCTGCTCAAATTAAGCAGTAGTCACTTTACAGGTGAGCACCAGGAAGGCCAGCACCAGCTTTCACAGGACTAAAGCAGCCATGGGTGTCAGCAGCACTGTGGCATTGTCTTGAGACCAGTAGCAAGAATAGCACTCGGCGATGTGATGTGGATAATGGGCACTCCTTGAAACTTGTGCTTTTTCTTTTTAATCCTCACCCAGGGTTATTTTTCTATTGATTTTTAGAGAGAGGTAAAGCAGACAGAAATACTGATGTGAGAGAAACACATTGATTGGTTGCCTCCTGCACATGCCCTGACTAGGGCCCGGGGCTAGGGAGGAGCCTGCAACCAAGGTACGTGCCCTTGACTGGAATTGAACCTGGGACCCTTCGGTCCGCAGGCTGATGCTCTATCCACTGAGCCAAACCAGCTAGGGTGAAACTTGTGCTTTTAACACAACCACTTAAAAATCAACAAATCCAGAAGACAGAATAGAAGAGAGTATAACGTGTGAATCCAGGTTCATTAAACTAATGCATTTTTTTGAAAAACAAAATATGACAGAACATTTCATTATTGTCGCAGATACGAGAAAAAGTGTTATGCTGCTATTTATAATGTGTCCTGTGTGTCATGGAATTGAACTATTTCCAAATCATCAATAATTAAAATGATGAGAATCCATCATTTCACTGACATTTACTTCTACATGAAAAGATGGCCTGTTTTAAATGTGCTCACACATATTCTTGTCAATCACAAGCTGTCAAAGCAAATTATTTCACTTTGTAGATCACATGACAACAAAAAATCTCTCAGTTTAAATTTAGATCTTAGGTGTAATATCTTGAACTCTTTTCATGGATTTTTTTCCTGAGACTACATCTTCATAATAGAGTATGTAAAAGATGTAAAATGTTATTCATAATACTCAGTTACACTTCTGGTTAACAAAACTCAGGACTTAAATGAATCACTGTAAGTGATAACTCTAAAGCCAAATGGTAGGATAGAACAGATAAGAGAGAATGAAATTGGGAAAAAAGGAGACATATGTACTACTATTTGTAATACTTTAAACAATAAAATAAATTTTTAAAAAACAGAATGAAAATATAAAACTTAAAAAAAATAATTTCTAAACAATCAGAGCTCTATACATTGGAAGTTAGACCTAATGGATTAGGTCCAAGCAGTGTTTTTCCCCCTCATCTTCATTAAGATATTTAAGCAGCTTCAGGGCATGAAGCGTTTTTTATGCTAGGTTTGCACTGCCAAGCAGTTATAAAGCAGCTGAACTCTTATAAACCCCATGAATCTGATGCAAGAATTTTCACTGTGCCCCATTAAGCAGAAGATTCAAGAACATAATACCTAAACTGCATGTCCATAAATCTGAAAACTTTTAAGTGTCTTTTCAAACAATTCATTAACTACATCTTCACAATTCTAGCAGAATCATTAATCAATTTTAGACTCTCCAAGTGCCAGAATTGTAAGACCTAACAAGACAGTTGATTAACATCAACTTTCTTTATAAAATATTTCTATTTTACCCCATACATAACTAATCTTTCTGCTTAAGTATTCAACTTCAAAATGCAAGAATTATTCTAATATTGCATGCAATAGGGAATCCTTCCTGTCAGTTTTGACCTTGGCCTGACCTCTATATACAAGCTTTGTGTTTTGAGGTATGTGATGAATAGCTCTCTAGCTTTCTATTAAATCCAGTGCCACTGGTTGTCAACAGTGATACTCAAAAGAGGTAGTAAAGTAGTTAAAAAATCAGAGATGTTCTCTAAATAAGTTAATTAAATATTACATCTAGGCAAACAACAACAACAACAACAACAACAAAAAACAGAGATGTTCTGTACATATTTTTCTACCTTAGCAAATCTGGAAATAGGTCAAAGGAAGGCATTTTTTTATTATCTACATTGCTTTTCCAAATAAAAAAAAATGAAGTATGGAAATATAATTGCCAAAATATACATAGGCTTATTTGGCCTTCCTGTGCCAGAAATTAAGTAAATTTTCCTTTCCCTATCACTTTGTTGAATAGTGCTCTCAGTTTAAAGGATTTATAACTTATTTACCCAGTTTACGGTCCTTTAAGACCAGGGCTTCTATCCCTATGCCAGGACTCTACAGATAGTAGATACTTAATAAATATTAAACTTAGATTAAACTGAATTCAAAATTGGAGATGAAAGAATAATCATAAAAAAGAAATCAGACTATGAACTCTTCTTCCCACCTGTCTCTGATCTATCCTAGTACCTGGTACATAGTATGCTATCAATGAAAGTTGGCTGAATGATTGAAAATCAGTATATTGAAATAATAATAACCAGTTGCTGACTCTAATGTCTGTTGGTTAACTGTATATAAATTATTCATGCTCATTTAGAAAGATAAAAGAGTAATACCCAATTCTGCTAACTGTTGTACCCCGGTTTACCTTTAGAATGTTTGCTTTTCCAACGTCTGAGAATGCCCTCTTACCCTAAATTCATCTACTACCTTCAAAACTATTCATGAATGTTTTATTTTTTTATGGTACATTCAGGACAACAAGTTGGCAAATTATTGATTTATCTATAAGACACATGCGAGAAAGGTAATTTTAACTTGATTTGAGAAAGTGTATGTGACATGAAATATGTATACATATGTATGACATATATCCATACATATGAAATTTCCTCACACCCCTCTCAAGTTATCTAAATCAAGTTATACATATACATTATCATACATATATACACACATATGTATAATATTTATTTACATTTATATTCTTAATCTTCTGAAATAAATCAAATGCTGATCTTTAGGCTTATCTATGAACTTAGATGAGTGTTTTTTTCCCCATTCTACTTATCCTAAGTCTTTTTAATGGACATGTGATATGCTAGTCTGTGTCCAAGCTCACCTACCATTTCTTTTCTCAAAAGACAAGGCACATCTGCCACCTGCTCTACTCCGTGTCCCAGCAACAACTGTCGAGCAGCATAAAGATTGATTATCAGTCAAAAACCATTGCACAACACCAGATTTTGGTGGGTTAAGCTTGCTGATCCAGCAAGAGATGGTGTGAAATTTTCAGGAGTGTGTGCCAACATTTTGGTGCTAAAAGAACAGCAGTGCATGTCACAGTGAAACACAGCCAAAGATATGCAGACAAAGCAAAGAAGTTTTTGTTCGGGACTTGGCTTTAAAAAGGATAAAAGAGAAAACAAAAAGTAGGGGGAAATTAGTTTGTACATTTAAAAATCATCCACCAAGCTTAGTCATGTGTGTAACATTAGTATTTTAAGCATACATGTCCAGGAAATTTTCTAAGAAGCTTAGATGTAATTTTTTATATATCTCTTCCATTATTATAAGAAAGGCAAATATTTCTTATTAATAAAAACAATCAAGGATCTTAAGAAAGTACTAATTATATAAATACCTGAATATAAAAAACTCAGAAACGTTTACCTACAAAGACTCATGCTTATATGCAAGCAGATGATTAATGAATACAAAATAAAGGCAGCTATATTTAAAGTTAAAACAAAATTAGAAAATGATATGGGTCTCCACTATTGTATGGGTAATTTTTACTGAGTATTGTAGCAACAAGTTTCTTTACAAGGACCAAATTAACTCGAACTTTCCATTGAATCAATAAATTATTTCCTGATGATCAAGCATTATGAAAGAGACAGAAATCTTAGTATTATTTTATATGATAACATTAATAGAGAAATAATTTTTACCACTTCATCTGTAATCAACTCCAGAGTTACTTTTCTTCTACTTATGCAATTACTGCCTAGACTTGCCTTTGGCTCATCAGCTTTTTAGCAGTTGCAGGAAAAAAAACAAAACACCACAACTTTTAATAAGATATAAAAAGCATAAGGGAGCACAGCAAGCAGTTAGATACACTGAATTTGTATGGCAAAGCTGTGTCATTTAAATGTGATTACCACATATAGGACTTGATAACAGACTTGGATATGGCATTTGGATATGGAATATCTAGAAGAATATTCTTAGATAGAAGTACTTTCATTTATCTCTTAAAATGTATTTTTTACCACTAAAGAAGGAAAAATGTTTTCAGTTTAGAAAATGTAAATGCACATTTTAAAAAAAGATCTTATCTACAAATAGCTCTAAAATATGTGTTTCTGTTTATATTTCATATATAATTTATATTATTATAATTTCTATCATGTATATAAGCATATATACATTTCAAGGTAAAAAAGTCAAGCTGTAGCATTTACATTATGAAAAATTTTATTAGGAAAATTACATGTATATAAGAATTATGTGTTCATTACTGGCCACACTTTCATAATTATGTTAATGCCATCTGAAAAAAGACCAAGAGTGTAAATGAATAAGTGATACTTGAAACTTTGAACTATTTTCTAAGAGAATAAGTCTAATGAATTATGTCTGTTGGGTGTCACAGAAACTAAACAGTAAATTCAATAATCTCTGATTTAATTTATTATATTTTCACCATTTAACCTCCTGCAGGCTCCCTAATGTCTATTCAGATCTATATTAAATTAAGCACCAATGCTAATGAAGGGCAATAAACGTGGCTGTCAGTGGATTTTTCTTTCATTAACCACATTATCCTCTTACTGAGCTGTAAATGCGTAAACATTAGTTTTGTTAAACCATGCAAAAAAGACAGGATGAAAATCATTTTTTAATTGCATCCCTCAAGCCATTTACTGTACGTGGGGGTAGGATTTTCTTTTCTTTTTTACCTTTAATTTTTTTGAATGGATCTAAAAAGGGCTCTCCCATTGAAACATAAACGTCGGCTTCATGGGGTATGTCTTCAGGTTCGAGGGCTTCAGAGCCATCTGCCAAGAACACTCGTCGTGCGGCCATGTTCAGATGCAGCTTCTCTGTGCACTCCTCCAGCAACTGGGAGAAAGCAAGAGGTAAGAGAAAGTGATTCACAAAAGGAGAGTTACACATTTCCATGAGACAAAACATGCTTCCAATCAAAACAGAAACTTGAGGCAATTGCCAGAGTTAACTTGAATAGCTCCACCAGTATATTTTCTAGCAGTTGAAAATATACAAATAAAAGATAAATTACAGCACTAAGAATATCTAATAATTGTCTAATTTTAGTCCTTAAATATCCTGTCAGTTAAATGTTTTTATAACTCTACAAAATATAACATGTGTTTCACTAAATGTGTTTCACTTTTTATACGTTGGTGAAAAAGGAAAGGAAAGGAATGCCTGTGAGTTTTATGTATACCTAAGCAATTTACAGGTTCATATTACTAAAAAGAACATTTTGACAGAATAAATGTCATTTTTCTCCACTTTTATATTTTAAAGAGAGTAAGGGAAGAAATGAAGCAATAAAAACTTTTGAACACTAGTTACCAAGGAGATGGTTGGTACAGCAACTTTGGCAAAGACTGTTCTAGATCCATTTTTGTAAGCTGTTACTCTAATTACTCTGGGTTGAAGCTTATGTCTTTGAGAGATTCTGTGCCAATTATGGGCCGACTGAAATTTTAAAGAAGAGAACTCTACAACTCTGAAGAGAGAGGGAAAAAAAAGTAAAAATCATTGCATGTTAATTAGTAAAAACATTCAAAACCATATTATCCTGGATATTTTTTACACATACATATAAGCTCTAATGACTGTAAGTATTCTTCAAAAAAACTTTTTATAGTTGTATATAACTACTTAAATATTTAAAAACACTTAATACAGGATAAGTTTGCCAAAACTGTTCATGGGACAGTTTATTTCAGAATAAATCATTTCAATCATTTTACTTATAAAACATCACAATACTTGTTTTTAAAAATGATATTTTTATATTAATTATGTTCTGATAGAAAGCATAAAATAGCAATATGTTCTTAATATTATAAAATACTTAGTGGAAAAATTTTTCCTTTAAGTTTTCATATTTATCAAAGTTCTTTGATTTATTTTAAAAGATTTCAAATTCAAGCAGATCATGACAACATTTTTTAATCTAAAGTCAATTGTAATTGCTTTCATTTCAAATTATCTGGAGGAAGTAAAAGAAAATTTCTAAGTTTTGTCTTCAGTCAAAACCAATGTCAATCTTACTATTTTCTCAGCAAAGCATGTAATTGACTAAAATGTCAAATTTTTACTTCAGAGTTCTGTAACTAACCCTGATAATTCTTAATGCTACAAAAGGCAAAGTAAACATTTTAAAATAAAAACTTTAGGGAAATTAAAATCACAATATATCCGCCTATTTAAACATATGAAAATAATGGTAGCATCAGTTTCTTGATTTGATTTTGATTTTACAAATATTTTATCCTATCCACAAACTCTTAGGTTAAAAGATTATTACAAACTATGTAAAAGTACACAAAATAGTTTTATAATAAGTTCATTACAATTTAGTTTTATTTTGGAATTTTGGTTAAATATCAAAAGTATGCATTTCTATTTTTAAACAAATACCTGGTAAGCAAAGATCTATCATGGTCTTAGACTGATTTTGTTTTAAATATTTTTTTAGAGTTTCATAGTATCCAGGTTGAAGTATATTTCATGTTTTCCACAAATGTAATTAACAACGTTGTACCCCTATGCTTTCAAAGAAAAAAACAACACAGAAACAAAACCCTAGCACTAGAAATGTGCTTCATTTTAATGTCTGAAATAACCGATTGAATCATTATGAATTCTGCTCAAAGGGAAAAGCCTCAACAGTTGGTTAAAAAGAAGAGAGCACAGCTTTGATTACCTCGGTTGACCCTCCGGAGCACTGACAGGTCTGTTTCTCTTGGATGCTGATATAAAACAGGAATTGTTGTTTCTGTTTGATTTGTAGCTGTCCGGGTATGATATTTCACCATGCCTATGATCTGATACTGTTTGATGTGTGGAGCAATTTTGAAGTCCTGACCTTTCTGATATTGCTGCTGAAAGCAACAGTCTGTTGGGGCCAAACTGAGGCTGCAAATAATCTTTAGTAGTTTTAATAACTGCTTTTGCCTGAGATGTCATAAACTCCCTGGAAGAAACAATGCATGGAAGAATACAGTGAATTGATTTATATTCACTTATTAACAACTACCACATAATAACTGGTTTTGTGCTATGTGCTAGACAACATACTACACACTTAGCCATTATTTTGTTTAATCCTTACAATATCCCTGGGAAGTAGGTACTATTTTTATCCCCATTTTCCAGATTTAAGAAATTGTGGCTCTGAGAGGCTATTAATTTGCCCAAGCTCAAATAATTATTTAGTTGGCAGGGAGAAATTGAACCCAAGCGGATCCTAGGACAAAACCCACATTCAGCCTTGGCCAGTGGGCTCAGTGGTTAGAGCGTTGGTCCGCCAACCAAAGTCTCCAGTTAGATTTCTGGTCAAGGGCATGTACCTGGGTTGCAGGTTCCAAACCCAGCCCCCAGTCAGGGTGCATGCAGGAGGCAACCAACACATTGATCTCTCTCTCTCTCTCTCTCTCTCTCTCTCTCTCTCTCTCTCTCCTTCTCTCTGTGTGTCTCTGTCTCTCTCCAACCCCTCCCTGCCTTCTACTTGCTCTAAAAATCAATGGAAGAATATCATCTGGTGAGGATTAAAAAGAAAACACTCATGTTCATAACCATTAAATGTACTTACATACTTAAAGAAGAATGCTGTGTAATCCTTGAAATAATGTAAGTAAAATTTTTAAGTTCTTAGATTAATTACTTAAACACTAGCACTCTGCTAAGTATTAGGAAATACAAACGTTAAAGAGATTTGGTTCCTACCCTTGAGAAAGTTGCAAACTAAACCCTAATAAAAAGAGAATATATGTTAAATAAACTGCTTAAACTCCTGAAGACAAACTTATGTAGGCTGGAATAAAGTTGGGAAAGGCTTCACAGCAGACCTGAGATTAAGGTGACTAACTCATCCTGGTTTGGCACTGAAAGTCACACATCCTGAGGGTTTCAGGTCATACAGCTTATTACCAGAATACTCAGAAAGTTAGGAAAGTAAATGTACTCCAGAAAGGCACAAAGAGAACTAGAAAACATTCATTGCTCTCTAAGATACTCTAGTCACATAAGAACAACTCTAGTAGACTGCCACATTTTTGGCTCAGAAACCTCACCTCTTCTTCTTCCTATAACATTACCATTATTTCCTATCATTATTTCCAATGATTTTAGGAATTGGTCATTTAAAAAAAAATAACCTCTCTTTGTGTTCACATAGTGATGAGGTTTTCTACCACATGCTGGAATTTGACCTAATTTTATAACACAGATTTTATTCTTAACATTCTATGTCAGTATTATTATCTTGTCCTACAAGTCTATGCTACGTCTCTACTGTAAATCTTTCATTATATCTGTAAATAATTCATACGGTATACACAGACTTCAAGTAGTGTCTTCCTCGGTAAGATTTCTATGCTACCCTTGTATATAGGAATATACTTCCTTCCTGTGCACTGATGTCTGCCCTGGTAGACCTGATAGCTGGAATCACTATATCTCATTCATTATTTCCTACCATCTAAAATGCTAGGCCTCTTGGCATTTGTATGTCTTCTTTGGAAAAGTGTCTATTCAGGTCCTCCACCCATTTTTTAATTGGATTGTGTGTCTTCCTTTTGTTGAGTTGTATGAGTGCTACATATATTTTGGAAATTAACCTCTTATCATTGTATCATTGGCAAATATGAACCCATATAGTGGGTTCCCTTTTCTTTTCTTTTTTCTTTTTTAATCCTCACCCACGGATATTTATCCATTGCTTTTTATAGAGAGTGGGAGAGAGAGGGAAAGATAGAGAAAAATATCGATGAGAGAGAAACACATCAATTGGTTGCCTCCTGCACAAGCCCTGACCAGGGCCTGGGCCAGGGAGGAGCCTGCAACCAAGGTACATGGCTTTGACCAGAATCAAACCTGGGACTCTTCGGTCTTCAGGCTGACACTCTATCCACTGAGCCAAACCAATTTGATGCTGGTTTATTTTGCTGTGCAAATAGCTTTATAGTTTGATGTAGTCCCATTTTTGCAGACTGGTGCAGCCACTATGAAAAACAGTGTGGAGTTTCCTCAAAAAAATGAAACTGCCATTTGACCCAGTGATCCCACTTCTAGGAATATATCCTAAGAATCCTGAAACACCAACCAGAAAGAATTAGACACCCTTATATTCACAGCAGCATTATTTACAACAGCTAAGATTTAGAAAGAATGTTGATCAGTACATTAGTGGAATACTATGCAGCTGTAAAAAAGAAGGATCTCTTACCCTTTGAGATAGCATGGAAGGACCTGGAGAGTATTATGCTAAGCTAAATAAGCCAATCAGAGAAAGAAAAATATCACATGATCTCACTTATATGTATAATCTAATGAACAAAAAAACTGACAAATAAAATAGAACCAGTGACATGGAAACATGGAACAGACTGACAAGTCTCAGAGGGAAAGGGGAAGGGGGCAGGAATTGATTAACCAAAAAAATTATATGCATTTATGCATTGCCCATGGACATACACTAGAGGTTGGTGAAGGATTGGGGTGGGTTGGGAACTGGGTGGAGGGGTGCAGTGGAAGAAAAAGGGGACATCTCTAATACTCTCAATAATAAAAACTCAAAAAGTAAAATAAGATGCTAGACCTCAATTTCTTTCAAATATTCCAATTCATCATTGTATTATTTCTTTTACCATTGGTATAAAAGCATTCTTTTTCAGCCTGAAAACTAAATGCCACTATATATTAGGATGACATAAGAACATCAATCACATTACTTCAAAACTATATCTTTTAAAAATTATCTATCAATCACCTATCTGTCTGTCTATATTAGTTTTCTATTGCTGTGCAATGAATTAGCACAAACTTAGTGACTTAAAACAGCACCTGTTCATTACCACACAGTTTTCATGTATCAGAAGTCTGGGCAATGCTTAACTGGACCCTTTGCTCAGGATCTCAAAATGCTGAAATCAAGGTGCTAGCTAGGGCTACAGTTTCATCTGATGCTCAGGGTCTTCTTCCAAGCTTTTTCAGGTTTTGTCAGACTTTAGTTCCTTACTGCTACAGAACTCATAGTGACTATCATCTTTGAAGCCAGTAGGAACTCACTCACCTCTCTGACTCTTCCGACTCTGATCTCTGAATTGTCATTTAAAGGTTGATCTGATTAGGTCAGGCCCATCCAGGATAATCTCCGATTTGGTTAACTAAAAAACACTGATTATGTTCCTTAACCACAACGACAAAAATCTCCTTTGTCGAATCTGAAGGGAGATCATCTATGTGGAGGCTGCTGGAGGAGCAAGGGGTCCCAGCTCCAGACCCCCATCTCAGGGTCCCAGAGCTGGGGAAAGAAATCCCTATGGGCAGTAAGAACTACAGGCTGCAAAAACCAGTATGGATTGGGGCTCAGTGACACAGAGCTGCTGGAGACCAAGCTGTTCCTTTTAAAAGGCTGACACCATAAATTGAACTTACAAGGTCTTGCTTCCTCTGAGCTCCAGCACCAGGGAGAGGCTCTGGGGAATATAGACACATATGAGGAGGAACTGGATTGTCTGGCATCGGGGCAGGAACTTGGGGGCAGCTTTCTCCCAGATGGAGGTGCTCACAGGGATCATTGTTCCTATGCTGGAACCTCTCCAGTTGCAGGGCTGACTGGCAGCCATTTCTGTTTGCTCTGCCCTGCTGATTCCCTAAGACCCAGCCTCATCCAATTTACAACCCCACCCAAGTTGTGTGCAGCAGCTTTTAGATAATAATGGCCTGTCCTTGCTCAGGCTAAAATCTCTCAAACAAGCTGCAGCTGGGTCAGGGAGCCTCAACCCTATCAATAAAAGGCCCAAAACCCAGCACCAGCACCAGCCTACCTTGCTTCATAGCTGGGCCTCATATGGGCACTTCCAAACCCGATGCAAAGAGGAGGAATCTGCAGATCTCTCTGTAGTTCCTGCTGGGTGGCCACAGGAAGTGACTGACTTTGCACCTCCCTGGAGATCCAAGAGCCAGTGTACCCAGTGGTCAGTGTCAGACCATACCAGATTACAACTCTATACATCCATAAGCAACACACTCAAGGGGCAGACTCAGTGAACACCTAAGCCCCACTGAAGCAAGTCCTGCTCCATAGGGATGTCTCCTTCATAGCAGTTCTCCCACTATAGTCAAAGTTGGTCCTCACAGCCAATTGGCCTGGAGGTCAATTCATCCCAGTGACACCAACAGCAATCAAGTCTCAACTATAACAAGACTGTACACAATCCACAAAGGGGTGCACATAGAGTGCCCAGCTCAGGTGACTGGGAGGCTGAGCCACTGGGCCCTATAGAACACCTACTATGCAAGGCCACTCTACCAACTCAAGGGGACAGAGCAACTCTACCCAATACATACAAACAAACAAAATGTGGAGACAAAGAAACATTTCACAAATGAAAGAAATGGAAGAAAGCAAAGTACTGGATATAGAGTTCAAAACCATGGTTATAAGGTTACTAAAGAATCTACTAGAAACCTCCAAATGGAAAAGGACCAGTCAGAAATTAAGCATACACTGACTGAAATAAAGAATAATATACAGGGATTCAACAGTAAAGGATTCTGAGAATCAAATCAATGATTTGCAATATGAGGAAGCAAAAATCACCCAATCAGAAGAGCAAAAAGAAAAAGAATCCAAAAATATAAAGACAGTGTAAGTGTAGGGAGGAGCTATAGGGTCAAGCCTCAGACTGACCTGTGGCAGGGCCACAAACAAGTCCTAACTTGGAGGGCAGAGCCCTCCTAGCATAATTAAGCATGACCCTATAGTCCTCCCTTGTTCCTAGGTAGCTAATGAGCTGTGGGAGGTGCAGCAAGTGCTGCCTAAACAAAGCTTGATAGAGAGTAGGGAATGGCAACAACAGGAAAGAAGCAGATTTGAAATTTGCAAGAACATTGTAAATATGTTGACCACTTCCCTTGTTTTGCTTTGTGTGCTCTGACTATAAAATAAAGCTTCGGCTTACAGGCTGT